TTTTTTTTTTTTTCTATTCTTAACGATGACGAGGAGACCACTCTCAGCCTCGTTTTATTATGCGTCCGGATTATGCGTTCCGAGAGAGAGATTGCGCTTTTCGTTTACGATTATTAATACTATATATCGTTTATTAATTATGATAATCGATATTATAAATTACGCGTGACTCGCTAAGTTCTCTACGCTGTACTCTACTTTCCAGCTGACAAGATCGCGATGTCTTTCGCGATTCGTCGCAGACTAACCTTCGACGAAATATCTTTCGTCTTTGGTGCTTTACCAAAACCTAATTCAAATTTATTTCATCTCGAGTTTATTTTTTCCTTTCTATTCACGCCAAATTCTGACCACGATTACAGGAATAACGCGGTTAACTCGCGAGCACGACTTCNGCAGCCACTTTAACGCTCGATTCGAGCAACGATCGGCTTCTCGGTCACAGAATATCTGTTTCGTAGATCTTACTGGTAGTGGTTGTAGTAGTCGTGCTCGCGTTATTGTTACCAGATGTTGACGCCGCAGTGGAAACGATCGCGGTTCCCATAGAAATTACGCTAGCGATCTGCTGACTGTCATTCGATTCGCTTGTGCCGGCCATTGTAGTGTTGCCACTTTCTATATTGGACGTCGAGTTCGCGGTCGACACCTGTTGATGTTCATTTGCCTCTTCCTGCCGCGTTCGCAGACTATCCACAGAAACCTCCTGAGGAATAGAGGGTTTCACGGTCAGACTTGTTAGAGAACCCGAGCTGGCGGTGCTCAGTCCTAGGCCCATTTTGGCCAACAGATTGCTCTCCGAGCCTGTCTTTTTCAAGAGATCTGGAGGCGCAGGCGGGACGGTGGTCAGGCCCGCAGTGTTCCTTTGCAGTTGTTGGAGTCTCGCGTATTGTTCTTGCAGAGCTTTCTGTTTACGCAGCAGTTCCTGATGCCGTTGTTCTAGTTGCTCCTGTCTGCCTTTTTTGCTCTGTAGACCCTCTTGCGAGTTCACGCTCTCACAGGAACTCGAGTTACTGGTGGATAGCACGGCTGATGATTGAGAACTGGTTGAATTATTGTGAAGCACCGGACTCGATGTTGTCTCCAGTGCAGAGCCGATTGTGGAAGTTAGCGTGGAACCCAATCCGGTACCTGGCTGCT